ACGAGCTTTTAATTTTAAGGACTAAAACGCAAGATTTCTATATTATATTAACTTGTTATGTAATATTCAAAAGGAGGGAGTATTTTAAGTATCTAAATAAGTCAAAGGTTATTTTGAAAAATAGCCTCTTTATTCTAGGTCATTTCCATGTATTTCCCAAACAATCTCCATTTAGTGCATCGTTTGCTTATTTATTTAAAATTTATTTTTTTTTATTTTTTAAAATACGATTTCAATTATAAAATAAAATATAAAGGAAAAGGTTTAGGCAGCTTTGGGGATGGGGAACTTCTAACTTGTCTCCTGGTTACTAACAGGGTGGAGATTCCCCAACCCTATTCTGCACTAATGCTACTCAAACAGGGGCTAGCATCTCTCCCCCACTCTAGGTGACCAATACAAGACAGGACGGGATTGGATAATGTCCTCATCTCTATATTCACAACATTGCCTTTGTTTGTTATATCACGTTTTAATTGTAATAAATGCCATCAATCTTTGATATTTGTCGTACTCGTGTTCCAACTTGTTTTCCATCCATTTTTATCCTCAACCATCCATCACTTAACACATCTTATGCCCAGTGACAATTTTCTTAAAAAAGTTTTAATTGCCCCCTTAGGCTTTCAAAGAACAAAATTATCAAAGTAGGTTATTTGATATCGCATTTTTATGAGAACGACAATTTTTATCAACTTTTCAATCACATATTTCATTAACTTTTCTCAAAACTTCTTATAGCTTTTATCAGAAACTTTGTCAAACGACCCAAAAATTACAAAAGTTCAACAAAATATTTTACCCCTCATTTTGAAGAACTCTACTAGAATATTTAGATATAAATCATGATCAATGACAAAATGTGCTAATTAATTGAGGAATAAGGATAAGACTGTGATGAAAAAATTTAGGAAATTAAATGTGACAATATAAAGGTCGAGGACCTTCGTTGGAATAAAAAATTTAGTGCAATTAACCTAGAGCCTGTTTGAGAGTGATTCTGAGAATTGATTTTTTGACCGTTAGGAAAAAAGTGGGGTCCATCTGTGAGAAAAGAAGTCAAATATAACGACTAGAATAGTAAAATAACGATCAAAAAATCAATTTTTTGGATGAAAAATCGGTCCCAAACAAGCTCCTAGTTTTTTAATAAAGAAAATTGAAGTCTCCGTGAAAATTTTCAAGTTGTTGAAAGAATGGGGATGAGGTCAGTTGTGAAAAGATGAGCGCAAAAGAATTAATACTTGTAGAGTAGGTTTGTCCAATGGGCACATTTATTTCTTGCTCCCTATATTTTAAAGGTCTTCCTAAACTTATATGAACATTATATTAGAGGTTTTATGGAATTTCATGAAACCAAAATACGTACCTAAAATTACCAATGGTCAGGTAGACTGCGAGGTTGTAGATTCAAACGAAAGCTAATCATAAGCAACGCTCCAGATACTCGAAACAAAAAAAGCTATGAAGTGTGTTTTCGTAGTAGTCATTCTGATACTTAAGTCAGTAATATATAAAGATAAAATTTATGCGAAAAATTATGAATTTAGAGCACTAAAGTCAGAGAATGCCGTGTATCATGTAGCTATATACCATTAGAAATTTACATTTTTGCCCACATCCTAACCATTGAAGGACTAGGTCTATTAAGATAAGAAAGGTTAAGCAAAGGTAAAGGTTCAGGATGTAGGACGGTCACCGAGTTCAGGATGTGTCAAGTTTAAGAGGAGGCCTAACCTACTTCTTGAGCAGCAATCCTCAGGGAACATATTACCAATCACACATCAAATAAAAATGAAAATATGGACTAATATAAAAGTTTAGGTTACGCCAATTAATAAGATTGAGCTGTTATAATGTAACCCCGAGTGTTAACATGATATTAAAGCTCATTAAACTCCAACGAGCATTTCGATCAAATTAAAACTCAAAAAAATGAGCATGCAGATTTTAAGATTGATTTGTTTAAACGTGTCACCGTCTTGTGGAGCATGTTAAGAGATAAATTATACATTGAATAAAGATGAAAATATAAACTAATATATAATATATTAGACTACTCTTCTTAATAAATTAGACATTTTAAGATGAAACCCCAAATCTTAATAACACAGTCAAGACGAGAATGGCTCCTTGGGACACACAAACCGAGGAAAAAGTCTTCACACGGAGAGACCTTTTTGTCATCCCCACACGACCATAAAGGAGGCGTATAATGGAATATGAAGACATCGATATTGTATAAAATTAAGAAGTGTACTAAGTGGTCCTATACATAATATATTTATTAGCAACTTCAGATTTCAAACTAATATACAATCTACCTATCGACAGTATACGCTTTACATGACAATATTCACAGTACAAGTACAATCATTACTACTAATATTGAACAAAAAACTTGCCGTAAAGTAAATGGTCGTCATTGACTACATAGTAGAGATGAATCTCTTATTTCTTGTTGAATGAAGTCGTGAATATACATGTTTAGATGAAGTACAATCAAGAAGGTATCGACCGAAGAAGGAATAAGGCGCTTACAGGAAGCCGGCGGAGTTGGGGCAATTCGGATTGTTGGAGCTGTCAGTTCACGTCAGTTTTTCTATTTATCATGTCATGGTAATATAGCAGTACACACATAGGTTGGCCAACAATGCAGAAAAAGCACCAGAACACCATGTTTCCCACCTGGAAGAATAATCAGCAGTAAAGTGAAATTTTTAAGTAAAACCGTGCAGAATAGAAAGTCGAGAATGGGGAACTGAACATAGTTCGTGTCGCTAAATTCAAACCACGATATCCAAGCAAGAAATACCATGTGAGCAAAACGAACATATAAAAACATAGGCATACAGTGAAGAAAAACGTACCATTGAATTTTTGAACTTGTTCTGCAAATAATTTGTTACAATAACCAGAGGAACCTGCTCAGAAATGATACCAGAATTCATAAACTATATTAAATCTCGAGAAGCAGATGTAGTTCAGAACCGAATTACAATTCAACATTGGTCATAATTGATACAAGGATAATAGGTTAAAGCAAGAACTATCAAAAATGGTAGGGAAAATCATTCACTCACATGATCACGTCAAAACTCGAGAAGTCGCATCACTCACGTTAAGAGATACTAAATTTCACAAATGCTGGTATAAATTTCATTACCTGAAACATAATTCCAATGAATGCCCACAACTTGAACATGTGGCAAGGAACAGCAATACACAGCTGCAGACAGGCATACGTAATTTGTGTCATCTACAAAATCTAAGGTAGTAGATTTCTTGTATGAAATCCATTAGATTCACAACTAAGCAATTCCAATGAGATGGGAAGAAAAGGAAAATAAGAAATCATCGCACACCTCGTGGAAAATAGCAGATACGAGGAAGGAAACCAAAACCGCACCTCCCTGCATCAAAATCAATTGACAGTAGAACCAGACACCGTTGTTGTAAATGAAAACAATTGCGATTGTAAATAAGGTCAAACCGTGTGTTCATATTGCATATAGAAACTTGGTAGATGCAGTAATGGCTCAAAGAATCAGTTTTGGCACGTTATTATGCATTCCCTCTACAACTGAATGGACAGTAAGTATAGGCTTGGAGTTTTAAGTAAGATAAAATGTGGGTATTTGATGTAAATTTTTCCTTTTACTGTGAAAACTAATTGCCACAAATCCGTTGCTAGTGGCTAGCCTTCTCAAGACATCCTAATACAAAAATAAGATGGAACGTATTTCCAAAAGAGTGATCTGTGTGAAGGCTACTTTAAAAATGGAACGTATTTCACCGCTTATACCATGCCATCGTATCCTTGTAACATCCCCCCCCCCCCCCCCCAACAAAAAAAAAAAAAAA